TGTAAAAAGAAGAAGAGTGGTCTTTTTAGAATCTCCAGTGCCAAATGTTTTGCATATGAAGAGAAAAAACTGAGAGAAGATCTTAAATTGTGGATACCATTGTCGTCTGATATAGACGACGAAAACAATGATTTATCAGATCAGATGGGAGGAAATACTGTCATATGTTATGATGTTGACGACTGCAATCAGTTTATCAGTTCACATGAAAACAAACTTATCATTTTAATACTATCTGATCAACATGCACAGGACCCAATACTTGTTTCAAATTTTAAAAAATTTTCCCAAATCGTTGCAATTTACCGTTGTATACCTCAAAAACGTTTCAATAACTTGCTGAACCGTTGGTCTTTTGAAAGAGAATACATTGTTCCAAATATATTTTGTAGAAACAACTTTCAAACTTCTATGCATAATTTCGATCCAGCTCGTCAAAGTATACTCATACAACTTTGTTTCGTTGAATCCAAGCAAAATATTCCATTTACAGGTAAAGTCAAAGAAGATTTTACTGCATTCTGTCATGAGACATTTAAAGATGATGATAATTATCCACAATATATTTTACAAATTGAAAAATTTAATGCAAAATATAACCCAAAAGATGCTATTCGATGGTATACCGGGTCCAAGTCTTTCATTTTGCGGATAATCAGCAAAGCATGCACTACTCTAGATGTTTCAGCCGTATATAAAATTGGATTTTACCTTCGTGATGTCTATAAACAATTAGAACGGCTTCATAGAGAACAGCTAGAAGAGTTATTTGACTCTGATATAACGATTTATCGTGCTGCAAAACTATCGAATGACGAATTCAATAACTTGAATATCAAAGGAGCTTTATTTGTAACGAGAAGTTTCTTGTCTACCACAATAGACAAAGAAGTTGCAAATGTTTTTTGTGGTAGGGGTTCAGGGAACTGCACGGAGAAGTCTGTTATTCTTATCATGGAAATTGATCGTAAAGTATTGCAAGAAAAGCCAATCGCATTTCTTGGCTATTCTGAAGTCAGTGATACTCCAGAAGAATGCGAAATAATGCTACCGATGGGAATTGTGTTTCGTGTCGTATCATGCAGCAAACCGGACAAGAACGATCAACATACTTTGGAAATTCATCTGGTTCGAGGTGAAGATGAGGCAAAACTCGAAGAACAGATTCATCAATATTCTCGTTTAATACAAATTAGTGCTGGTGGTCTACTTCTTGGAACAGAAATTTTTTCGACATTGGAAAACAATGGTCAACATTTTGAAAAAATCAACCAATCTGCATTCCATACGTCAATAGTTGTAGATGCTTCAACTGCTGAAGATTTATCGGTTGGAATCAATGAAAATGGTCTATCTGCATCTGTAAGTTTAGATAGTTTTTCTTGCATTTCTGAAGAGATTTCCTTAGATTAGTTAAGTTGACTTAAAATGAAGTATTATGCTGGGTTTATTAAGCAAAATCATTAATGTTTAGTCTAGAATTCGTAGGCATTTCTTTCTATTTTCTATTATTTTGTAGAGTTTACATGTATTTTTCGAACAAAATAGCGAGTGTAAGTTTTAAGATGAAGCTTTGCGACTCCCCCTCTCCACCATTATGGATTTTATCAACAAGAATTAAATAATGCACAGATATAACGACCTTATATATCATCTTCTTCAATGCATACAATAATAGAAGTGTAAAATTAAGTGAAAAAATTTACAGAAATGAAAAATAAAGAGCAAAAAGCAACAAATAAAACGAAAAATAAGATGCCCGTCAAAACAAAATGAAAACAAATTCTTGATTTCATAATTTTTTTCCATTTTTTTTAAGTGTAATGAAACTAAATAAGATCGGTGAGTGCCACATTTTAGCCACATAAAAGTTGTGCTGAGAAGTTTTTATTCGAAAGATCACTATTGAGAATCATCCATAAAACAAGTTGAGCATGTAAGAAATGTAATTAGTGTAAGAATTCTACTACTTTGATTTTCTAAATATATTGATTTCGATGAGAATCGACAAATCCATCTGTTAGATTTAATAATAAATACACAAACTGACATAGATAATATATGGCACAATAAGAAGTATATACAGGTTACTTAAAATGAAAGACATTAACATAGATAGAAAGTGTTTTTAGCATATACTCCTCCACACATTCGATAGCTCCTTCTACATAATTCTTCTTCACTGACAAAGACATAGAATAGTTCGAGCATAGTTACTGCACATGGATTCGTATTACATATAACTTAAACCACGATGATGATTTAAATACATTAGTAATAGTCAGGGTAAAATTATTTCGTGATTACCTGTTTGTATACTGGCGAAGACTGGCCTTTTGTCATACTATGGATACATGGGAAGATAGCCCGTGATCTAATCTGTCAGAAATAACAAAAATTTTTACTCAGCACCTCGATTTTTCAAAAACTTTTGAAGATTCCTCTCATTCCCTATTTGTAAAACAAGCTGTTTTCTTGAAAAATCAAAAATGTTTTTCGTTTTTCTCAGTTTATACTTTTTCGATCATGCAAGTAAGAATTGACTCTTACTCCGTACATTTTATTCTTTTTTTGTTTGAAAGAGCATGTCAAGATGCAGTGCCTACCAGAGTCCTTTTTTAATTAAGCTTTATTTTTATTACATGCATACAAGCACTTATATAAATAGGCACCCACTTTTAGAGAGTCTTTCGAGCCATTGACTTTGTGATCCGCTTTGCTCACTTAAAAAGTAAGAATTTAGAAAAAAAAGACTTCTAACAGACATTGCGTTTTGACATGCTCTTTCAAACAAAAAGTGATTAATATGTAGAATGAGTCTGGATAGAGAAATTTGGTTTGCCAAATGTGCTATTTTTGACGCTCATTTGATACGTAAATATCTCTGTCAAACCTTAAGATACTGACGAGGGAGAGTCACCAACTGTTCAATCGATTTTGCATTGAAATCATGTGCATTATGTAGTACTTAAAGAGATATGAATATCGTAGAAATAGTTTGGGCGGATAGCTGATGCTTATGAAAATATTCCATTTTTAAGGTTTGATTTTTGAAAATTGCTGTGGTCCCCCTCAGGGATAGTGAAAAGATTAATTTTCGAGTTTTGACTTGAAACTTTATTTTCTAATAGGTCTTGGTGAAAACAACTTTTCTATCAACACATCAAATTTTTCTAATGTCTCAACAACCAAATACAGCTAGTGTGAAAATGCAAATTTCACTTTTTCAAATAGAGTATCGAATGTGACGAAATGAACAACCCAAATTACATAAAACTTTAATAAAATACTATTCTTGCTGTGACCGGTTCTCAGATAACGTTTAAAG